TAATAAATCTTTAAGATATACAAAAATATCTGTAAAACCATTATCCAGCTTAAGAAATAAATTCCCAGGTTCTGTCCCAGAAATTCTGATTTAATTCGTAAGGAGTGGATCCCAGGCCTGCTTATCAGCAGAGATGAAGTCCCCTGCATACTCCTGTTGTATTATTACCCTTTCTTTCATCCTCTTTAGCATAACCATAGTTGTGAGATTGATATTTACCATGCATTCCTTTCGGCCTTTACTACTTCCATGCACACTTGTAAATAATAGATATGTGTGGCCTATAAACAAAACGCATTTTTGTTTATGCACTTAACATTGTGAGATTTAACTATGTTGATAGGTATCTCTAGTTCATTTGCTTTTGCTGTAAAATTGGTACACAATTGTATAAAATTGTATACCAATTTTACAGCAAAAAGAAATCAAAATCACTCTTTCCACAGATACAAAAATTAGTTTTCCTCCAATATCTTGAGGTTGCATCAGTCCCATTCTGAATATCTTTGTGTTTTTTACTTGCATCTGTGTGATTTTAAATATATATCTTCAAGTTTACTAGACATTATCAAATTGATCTCCAAAGTGGCTGTGCTAATTTACCATCTCACTATCATTCTCTGCATCTTCAGTAACATTTGGAATTAACAGTCTTTTAAAGTTTTGCCATTTGGGGATTATAAAATAGTATTTTGTTGTGATTTCAGTGCTAACTTTTCTCAATACTAATGCTGGTGAACATCTCTCATTTAGTTCTTTTCTGTCTTGCCTAATTTTATATTGAGATGTTTATTTTCTTGATGTGTACAAGTTTCTTGTTTGTTCATTCATGTGATTCTAGATTCTAAGTCTTATCATATATATTGCAAATATTTACTGTTATGAGGCTTTGCTCATCTTTTTTATACTGTCTTGATGAAGAAAAGCTCTTCATTTTAATAGAGTCAATCCTATCAACATTTGTGGCTTATGTTTTGATAACTATATATTCCCATATTACATTGTATCTCAAAAACAATTACAGGAAGACTAAAGGCCTGAAGACAAAAAACAAAAAGTTATAGATTTCATAAGAAAAAAGAATCTAATATAATAATGGAGTTATTTATTCTATTTTTTCTATACATTTTCTTGGATTTCTATGTAGACAATATTTTGTCTGGAAGTAATGATTATTTGGCCCTATTGTTTTCAGTCTTGTACATGTTCCGTCTTTTCTTGTCCTCTTGAATTGTTAGGACCTCCAATATATTTTTAAATTATAAGCAGTCGTAGTCATTCGTTACTTAGGGCTTTTTTTTCTTCTGATTTTAAAGGGAATCCTTTTAATATGTTATCATTTAGTAAGATACTTGTTGTACAGTTATGGTGGATATCCATTATCAAATTAAGGAATTTGCTTTTCATTCCAAGTTGACTAAGAATTTTATTATAATAGCTGATTAATTCAAATGATTATATGGTATACTTTCTTTAATAAGTTTTTATTATGAAATACACAAATAGATTTGCTATTAAAGGATCTCCTTATTTCTGGAGAAAACACCACTTGTTCGTTATTCATTTAATGTGTTACTGATTTCTGTTGTTAATGCTTTCTGTGCTTTTTCTTATAGGCATTTGCATTTATGTTCGTGAATAAGACTGGGCTCTAGTTATCCTTTTTGTTTCATGTTTGCTTTTGACATAAAGTACTTTCTTTATTTCTCCTCTCCTCTCTCTTTTAAGTGTTAAGAAACATTGGGAATTGGAGGAGGAAAGGATTAGGGTAGGGCAGAGGTTGATTGACTCTTAAGTAGTGTCTTCAGGATCTGGCTTCTCTCTATCTCAGAATTCTGTTCACTCTTCCTCTTCATGTTGGTGAAAGAACCTGTATAGCTGTTATATAAAAAGTAACATATCTTTCTATTTTTATGTAAATTATCCACCAATTACTGTGGGTGCTCTTAAAATATTCTGTTATGTACTATCTCCTTTAATTTTACCTTGTGATTCTTTAAACTTTTTTGGTATGTATTTTGAGTCTTTATTATTAGGTATATATCATGGTTGAGCTGTAATATCTTGAAACTTTAATCATCATGTACTGACTCTATGTCTGTTTAATAATGAATTTTTACTTCAAGTCTAGCTTTTATTTTGGAGTCTTACTCTCTTACTCTGTCACCTAGCCTGCAGTGCAGTGGTTCACTACAACCTCCACCTCCCGGGTTCAAGGGATTCTCCTGCCTCAGCCTCCTGGGTATCTGGGGCTATAGGCACAAGCCACCACGCCTGGCTAATTTTTGTATTTTTAGTAGTGACGGGGTTTCACTGTGTTGGCCAGGCTGATCTCAAACTCCTGACCTCCAGTGATCCACCCGCCTCCCAAAGTGCTGGGATTACAGGCATGAGCCATCGCGCCTGGCTGGCATTCTTTTTACATATTTGCTTTCCCCCTTTACTTTTAGTGCTCTTGTGAGCTTAAGTTGAGGATGTGTAAACTTTAAGAAACATTTAGTTGGATTTATTTCTTTAAATGTAATCTGACTATCTATGTCTTTTAAATATTTAAACCATGTGATAGTTGACATGACACATTCTTTCTATGGTCTCATTTTGTGCCTTCTATTTATTCTGTTTATGTGCTAGTTCCCACCCCCACTCTTCCATAAACATGTCTTTTTTCTTAATTTTTTGGATCGAGGATTTCCACACTCCCCCCAACTCCAAACAATTTTCCTTCAGTACTGTTTTGGTAGTTACATGTTCTCTATTATTTTGGCAGTTTATCTTAAATTTTTAATTGTCATAGCCAACTTAAAGGGGCATTTTGTGTCCTGGGTCTAATTATTTTTGTGTGCCCTAATTCTATTCATACCATCATTTTCCATAGTATCTTTCTAAATCTGTTTTCCTAGGTTTTACATACTTTGTGTTCTCTTATTATATGGGTCGTGCTCCATGTCTCCTCTCACTTCTTCCAATGGCTCAGCTCTACTGTAGCGGCCGGCATTTTTGACTTGGCCAACCATGACTGTGTACATTCCTTGCTCTTTTGGCCACTCTGATCTTTGTTCTTTCCAGTTTAATGGAAAAATTATTAAACTCTTGCCTGTGTACAAAAACCATTATGCTTAACACCCTTTTCAACACTTTTTTCTTTTTATGCTGAGGTTTCATCTGAGTAGGCTTTGCAAAAACAAAGACAAAACTGTGGATTGAAGTTGAGTTCACAGTGCAACCTGATCTACAGCAGTGTAAACCACATATGGACATCATTTTTTATTCCTCATACTGACTATTAGTGTAAAAAAGAGCATTTGATTAAATTTCATTGTTCATATAAATTAGTAAAAAGTTTTTTTCTTACCATTTGCAAAGCTGTATACTCCTGAAAACGTGCTTGGAGATACTCAAACCAGAGTATAGAAAAAAAAAAAGGATAGTGAGAGAACTAAGTTTTGGTCTTGCCTTCTCAATAGCTGAGTAACCTTTGGCAGGTCACTTTACCTTGGTGAAGCTTTACCACTCTGGGCCTCAGGTAATTAATTTGTAAAATGATCTGGCAGGAAGTATTAGTTATCTACTGCTGTGTAATAAATTATTCAAAAATTTAATGGCTTAACATGACAAGTATTTTTTAATACTTTAATACTTGACAGCTTCTTGACCTTGGCTTAGCTAGGTGTCTTTGATTCAGTGTCTCTTGGAAGGATGTAATCAAGGTGCCTGCCAGGACTGTGGGATGATCGTTTTCAAGCTCACTCATGCAATTGTTGTCAGGATTCAGCTCTTCAGGTGTTGTTGGACTGAGAACCCCAGTTTCTTGCTGGCTACTAGCTGGAGACCTCCCTCTGTTCCTTGCCATGTGAGCCCCTCCACAGTATGACAACTCGCTTCTCCCAGAGCGAGGACTCAAATAGAGAAAGTGAAAGAGAGCAAGCAAGACAGAAGCCTCAATCTTTCTGTGATCTAATCTTGAAAGCAGCATCCTATTATTTTCTCTGGTTTCTATTACTTGCAAGTCACTTGATTCAGCCCACACTCAAGAGGAGAGAGTTCTTTGTCCTTTTCTGTATTTAACCTGATTACTTCTCCCAACTTAGTTGGTGTGAGAAAGCAGTTGTCTTCCTTTTGGTCTCCACTTGATTCAATCATTAATTATGTTAGAAGGCACATACTTTTCTTAGGTAAGAGTAAGAATCTATTTGGGTGTTAAGGAAGACTACTTTCTGCCTCTGGAGGAGTTGAGAGACTGTATACATGTCATATATCTCACATGTGTTTAATCCGCATACATGTAATGCATATATTTAAAAGTCAAAACAACATCAGAAGGTTTCAGAATAAAGTTGATTGCAAAATATGGTTTTTATTTTATTTATTTTTTTAATTGTACTTTAGGTTCTGGGGTACATGTGCAGATCATGCAGGATTGTTGCATAGGTACATACGTGGCAAGGTGGTTTGCTGCCTTCCTCCCCTCATCACCTATATCTGATTTTCTTCTCACATTATCCCTCCCCACCCTCCCCACCCCCCACTGTCCCTCCCCTAGTCCTCCCCAACTGATGGTGTGTGATGCTCTCCTCCGTGTCCACATGTTCTAATTGTTCAACGCCCACCTATGAATGATACCATGTGGTGTTTGATTTTCTGTTCCTGTGTCAGTTTACTGAGAATGATGGTCAAAGCCAATATAAATGAAGTTCCATTTGTAATTGTGGATTACTGGTGATATATCATTGTTTAGACTATTTAAATATAAGGTTTTTTGTGATAAAAGATATAGAATGCATTTTGCTTCCCTACTGTTACATAGGAAAGACATTGGCCAGAAAATTGATTGTGGGGAGAAGCTCTGCCATTGGTTGGTATATGGCACAACTTTTCTAAATACCAGTTTTCTTACTTGTAAAATGAGGTTATTGATACCACAGTCTCAAATTAGATGTTTCGTGCTTTATAAATGATAGTGTTCTACAACTAAATGGACTTTCTTTAACCTCTTGTTTCAGGCCACATGTGACCAACGGGGCTGCTGCTGGAGTCTCCAGGGAGCAGGAAGTGTTCCCTGGTGCTACTATTCCAAGAATCATGGCTACCACATGGAGGGTGACCTTGTAAACACAAATGCAGGTAAGCCAGAGTCTGCCATGATGCAGGAGGTCCAGACGCTCTGGAGACTGGCTCTGTATCCCCCAGAGGAGAGCTGGGGCAGCCTGCAGAGTTCTGCTCTGTGGGGCCATATAACCACATATGACAGAAGGTGGGCACTGCTCTTAATTAAGGACTAGAATCTATGTGGGCACCAAGGAAAAATTACTTTCTGTCTTGGGAGTTGAGAGACCATGCTCTCTTTCTACCTTTCGCTTTATGAATCTTCATGACTGCAATAATCATTAATCACTTTGGTTTTCAAATTTATCCCTTTTAAAGTGGGGGATTTGAAATCAGTAACCTCTCAGACTACTTCCAACTCTAATTTTATGTTTTTTTATGAAATGGAAATATTTCAATTTTATAAACATGTTATGAAAATTACTATTCAATATAAGTGTTCATGGAATGAGTAGCCCCTCTTCTTCCTCCTACTCTAAAATGCAGAGCATAGGCTGGGCACAGTGGCTCACACCTATAATCCCAGCACTTTGGGAGGCCAGGGAGGACAAGGTGGGTGGATCACCTGAGGTCAGGAGTTTCAGACCAGCCTGGCCAACATGGCGAAACCTGGTCTCTACAAAAAATACAAAAATTAGTCGGGTGTGGTGACACACGCCTGTAGTTGCAACTACTCGGGAGGCTGATGAAGGAGAATAGCTTGAACCTGGGAGGCAGAGGTTTCAGTGAGCCGAGATTGCATCACTGCACTCCAGACTGGGTGACAGAGTGAGACTGTCTCAAAAAAAAAAAAAAATGCAGAGCATAATGATGATCATTCTGGAGGACTGCAGAAGGTGACACTTTAGGGAGGCTCTCGGTATAAAGGAAGAGTCATGTTCCCCTTTCAGATGCTCTTGGCCTGATGGACTGTTCTAAGTCTCAACTCTCACCTCATTTACCATTTAATTAGGGAGATGGCATCAATGGATATAATCACCTGTAATGCAATATGAAAATAACTGGGAAGGAATTATGTGTATATATGTCAGGTCTGAGACTGTAAAGGATGTTTGATTAATACTGAATGACTGATGGGCTCGTGGAATGAGTGTTAGGCTTATTCGGGGAGGTTTTCAATCAGATTTTGTAGAAGAGAGACATAGATTTTTATATAATGTAATGATGATATTTAGCTCCAGAACCTGCCATAGATAGTGTGTTCATATCATGGGATATGTATCTGTCTCTTCCTTTCTTTTGAGAAATAGAGGGGTTTGTTTTTTCATCAATCACTTTGACATGTATCCTAATTTTTATGTGGCTATTATTTGAGAATTTGCAGAGTAAACTATGAAAACCTTTTTTTTTTCTCCTATATTAGGATTCACAGCCCGGTTGAAAAATCTGCCTTCTTCACCCCTTTTTGGAAGCAGTGTTGACAGTGTTCTTCTCACAGCAGAATATCAGACATCGAACCGTTTCCACTTTAAGGTTGTAATTTGTTTACATTTCTTTGAAAATTTTTATTTTATTATACTTTAAGTTCTGGGGTACATGTGCTGAGAGGCTTTTGTTCCCTACCCGATCACTGCAGTTACTACAAAATAGAAAATATTGCTACTGAAGGTATTTTTCTCTACTGTCATTATTAATTAGCACCTGTACATTAAAGACATACACAGAATAGCCTTCCTTTAGTGTGGTGACTTCCCCAATATGTATTACAGCTTACTCGTGAATTTGGCTTCCATTTATTTACTCTAGATAACATGTGGAATGTGGTAGGAAGGTAAAATAGGGAAGTATTACAGCTATCAGTCCATCTCTGCAGATGTGCTGTGTGTATTTCTTCCTAAAGACTAACTTATGCCCAAAGGTGAACCATTTGAATTTGGTAACTTAAGAAGTACCTCTATCTTAGACATGAAGTCAGTATGATCAGTGCCTGATTCCAGTACCATAAGTACGGATATTGGGAAGCTCCAACAAGTTTTTATTTTGGCTTTCCTTCTATCTCTGTACAGTTGACCGACCAAACTAAAAGCAGGTATGAAGTGCCCCATGAACACGTGCAGTCCTTCAGTGGAAATGCTGCTGCTTCTTTGACCTACCAAGTTGACATCTCCAGAGAGCCATTTAGCATCAAAGTGACCAGAAGAAGCAACAGTCGTGTTTTGTAAGTTTTGGAAACGTATCTGAAGACCAAAGTAGGAAGGTTACAGATAAGGGAGGTCTGTAAGCCTGAGGAAGGGAGTGTTTCAACACTATTCCTGAAGGTTGTGAGTCCACTATTAGTGGCCAGACCCTTTACCTCCTAAAGTGTGTGTGTGTGTGTGTGTGTGTGTGTGTATATATATATATATATATATATATTTCTGGCTTTCTTCCTCTTTCTTCTGTTTGCATAATCATTGCTTCTCTTTAGTTTTTCCTTTCTTCCCCTCCATCTGTAATATATAACCACCTGTCCACCAGTAAATATTTACTGAACATCTCCCATTATAAGTATAGTGTTCTGGTCATGTGGTAGAGTGTCTGGTCCGGGAGACGACTGTCAGAAATTTGTACATGGTCCCTTTCTTCAAGGAGTCCTGGTCTCTTGTTGTCCATAGAAAAACGTCACAGGAAGGCAAATGGGACTGAATAAATGGGGGCTACCGAGGCATTGAGATACAAAGGACGTTTTTCTAAACAGTTATGCTCTCTCTACCTGCTTGCTCACCCATCCTTGTGTTCTCCACCTTGTCTAGGTTTGACTCGGGCATTGGGCCCCTCCTGTTTGCCGACCAGTTTTTGCAGCTCTCCTCCCGACTGCCTAGTGCTAATGTGTATGGCTTGGGAGAGCATGTGCACCAGCAGTACCGGCATGATATGAATTGGAAGACCTGGCCCATATTTAACAGGGACACAACTCCCAATGGTGTAAGCTTTCAGATGGGTCCCTTTCCACTGAATGTCATAGTCTCATTCTTGAAGGTCACCTCTAGTATTACAGTGTAGTGTTTAAGAGTTTAGAGTGAGACTACCTGGCTTTGAATTCTAGTCTTGCTACTTACCAGTTACGTGGTTCTGGGTGTTACTTACCTCTCTGTCTCTAGTTTCTTATCTATGAAATGGAAGTAATATCTCGCTAGGGTTCTGGTGAGGATTAAATAAACTCATACATGTAAAGTATCTAGAAGAATGTCTGCCACAAAGAAAGTGCTCAATAAATGCCAACTAATTCATATTTTCCTAACTAGATATGGAGAATATATTATTAATATATGTACTCTGAACAATAGTTGATTGCGATCTCCATACTTTTAGGTTCACCTTTAATCACTGACTCGGCAGGTTTATTATCAAAATAGGATAAAGTCTCAGCCAAAACAGTCATTCTTTTTGTAAAGAATGATTGTGGTAGTGAAAGAATAGACAGAGTTTTGTTGTCATTATTGTTTTATTGTATTTCCACTGTTGTTATTTTGACTGCTAGACCTTGAAGCGACATTGTTTTTTAGACTTAGCAATACTCCATGTTCAGGGCCTTTCTTTTTCATTATTATTTCTTCTTCTTCTTCTTTCTTCTCCTTCCTTCTTCTTTCTTCTTCTTCCTCCTTCCTTTCTTCTTCCTTCTTCCTTTCTCCTTTCTTCTTCCTCCTCCTCCTCCCTTTCTTCTTCTTTCTTTTTTTGAAATGGGGTCTCACTGTCACTTAAGCTGAAGTGCAGTGGTGCAATCACCACTCATTTTAGCCTCAACCTCCCTGGGCTCAGGTGATCCTCCCACCTCAGTGTCTGGCATAGCTGAGACTAAAGGTGTGTACCACCATGCCTAGCTAATTTTTTGTATTTTTTTTTTTTTTTTTTTGTAGAGACTAGGTTTCACCATGTTGTTCAGGCTGGTCTTGAACTCCTGGGCTCAAGTGATCCTCCTGCCTTGGTCTCCCATAAATGCTGGGATTACAAGTGTGAGCCACTGTACCCAGCTTGGCTTTCTTGACTAAGCAGAATTAATGGCTGGATGAAAGGAAATTATAGCAGTAATTTATTAGTCAGCTATTTATATATATACATACATATATGTATATATATATATTTCTATTTCACTATAGAGTCCAGAAAATATAATAATTTCTTGTTAGAGAAAACCGAGGCCCAGAGAAGTCAAATTAATAGCTCATGGGAAAATAGTTTGTAAGAACAGAGGAAGAATTGAATCCCTACTCTGTCTAATTTAAAGCCCAGGCTCTCTGTACATATGCTTATCTATCAGACAAGCAGAAAAGCTGTTGAGTCAGAGCAGCTTACCTAGGAGCACTTGGTGATGATTGTTTCATTAGGGAGCCTCAGATCCTTGCTACTCAAAGAGTGTATGTAGCAGGGCAACCACCATGTGAGAGGTGGGCCTTCAGTCCCTCCTTTTATCTATTGAATTAAAATCTGCATTTAGAGCTGGATGCAGTGGCTCATGCCTGTAATCCCAGCACTTTGGGAGGCTGAGGTTGGTGGGTGGATCATTTGAGGTCAGGAGTTCAAGACCAGCTTGGCCAACATGGGGAAACCCCATCTCTACTAAAAAATACAAAAATTAGCTGGGCTGTAGTGGCACATGCCAATAATCCCAGCTAATCGGGAGGCTGCAGTAGGAGAATCACTTGAGCCTGGTAGGTGGAGGTTGTGATGCGCCGAGATTGCATCACTGCACTCCAGTCTGGGCGACAAAGTGAGACCCTGTCTGAAAACAAAACAAAACAAAACAAAACACATTTAACTAAAATGCCCATGTAATTTTTGGATACACCAAATTTTGAGAAATACTTTTCTAGAGCAATGGTTTTCAAAAGTGACTTCATGTTGGAATTATCTGTAGAAATTAAAAAATGATAGTGATGTCTGCTTCCATCTCCAAGGATGCTGTTTTAATTGGTTTGGGGTGCAGTCTAGGTTGAGAACTCCTGTTCTGGAGTCTCAAAGACAAGCCAAGACTAGAGCTCCATCTAGTTGCCTGATTGATATTAAGGCATATTGATGGAGCTTTTGCTGATGAGGTTAAGTTAGATTAAGACACGCCTCTTTGAGAAGGGAGCTCTTTTAAATTACAGTTTTAAAATTCCTATCCTCCTACTTTCTAAAAAACGTTACAGTCTTCACATTCCTTCTAGATGAATGATCATAACAGGCTCATTCTGTAAGAAAACACGAGTTCACTTGGTTAACATCAACTAGATATAGATCCCACCTTTTAAAAATGTATTGTGCCTTTATGTCCATGAATTTCCTGTCAATTACTTGCATGATTAAGACTGATTTCCTAAACCAACCCTGCAGTGTGGTTCTGAAACCTCTTGGTTGTAAATTTTGGTTTTTAATTATCTTTCTACAGAATGGAACTAATTTGTATGGTACGCAGACATTCTTCCTGTGCCTTGAAGATGCTAGTGGATTGTCCTTTGGGGTGTTTCTGATGAACAGCAATGCCATGGGTAAAGGAATATTCATGAAAAAAAAAACAACAAAAAAACAAGCACAAGAGTTATTTTCCGTCCTTTCTTATGGCACTATGATAAAAGGAATGGATCCCTTTAAGAGTGACTGAGCCATAGTGTAGGGAGGGCCTTATATGTTCTCTAATCCTGCCATCCCTACTTCATTACCTGTTGATCCATGGTAGCCATGAATAGGGGATTTTCTCCTAGCTTATGATTTTCCTGAATCTGGCGGCTTCTGTTGGAATATTTTCTGTTATAAAGTTGAGGAGCCAATCCTTCTCTATAATCTACTCTGAGATAGTTTCCACCAATGTGTTCTTCTCTAGCCTTAGCCTTTTAGTCAGCAGATCCCAGTGGCAATGAGTTGCCACAGGGAAAGAGAAGATGTATCAGAATCTCCCAGGACTGATGGTGGGAGCAGGATATTGATCCACACCTCTTCTCAGTTGAGAGTCATCCATTCAATCAGTACACCTCAAAGTGTGGTCCATGAATGGGTCACAGACTTTTTCAGGTCTATAGTAAGATGAGTATTGAAATGGCGAGTAAGCAGTGCTGTAGCCTCCACATGCACACATGAACCTTTTTCTAGCAATTCATTTCCGTGTTATTTTATGAAAATATCAGCTTACAGTGAAATGGAAATTAAAAAAAAAAAAGATCTGATTCTCCACCACAGAGATTTGAGAAGCACTCCAAATGATCTAAGATGATTCTAGGACATCTAAGACATGAATCTAAGATGATTTTAATAGAATCTCAGATGGTCCTAAGGTACTTAAAGTACCAAATAACCTAAGAATAGACTGACATAATATAATACAAGGACTGTATACTTTTAGGTAGGTGAAAGGAACCAGAAAGTAAGATGAGTCAGGCTTAATGGGAAAGGTCACAAGATCCTAGATACTCTGTATGAGTTATTCCTATGACCAAAGAGTACATTGCAATATTTCTTGAGGCATTTTATTCCTAGATACAAATCAAGGTAATAACACAAATTTTGAGAATGGTGATTGGCACATAGTGGAGTTTTGAATTTATGATATAATCTCTGACATTTTTTTAGTTTGGCTCTTGTTTGATGTGAGATTCACGAGGGTAGTTACCTCCATGTCTAGTTGAATTGCACTCTCACAATAATGATGGGGTATGTGGTGGGACATGTTCTGTGGTTGCAAAAGTCGGAGAGGAAAAACTTCTCCTCTAACCTCTTAGGGTTAATTCTTGGGAGCCTGCAAATTAAACTGACAAGAAGATAGATTAGCAATAGAAAAGGCAGAATTTATTTACACATGCAGTGCACATACACACGGAAGTTCTCAGTGATAAGTAACTCAAAGTGGAGATTAGAACTTAGGGCTTAATTAATAGGTGAAAGGGAAGGAGAGAAAGACATTTATGAGAGAGCAAGTGACTTTTTGGAAAGATAAATGGGTCCTTAGGAGAATAGGTGGGAGAATATTATAGTCTTATGACACTGTCTTTCTGGGAATGGTGCTTGTTGTCTCAGAGAAGATTAGAGGTACTCGTTGGAGTGGATTTATGACAATTGCATTTTACTGAGTTCTTTTAGGAGACTCTGCTTTTAGGCACATCAGGGATTTCAGTAACTCAAATGCCTTCAGCCTGAAATAATTTTTTTATGTCACAGTGGTTTATTCTGGACCCTTTCATAAACCTGGCTGCTTTTTCCCCAGAGCCTGGGACCTGGCACAAGGCACTAAGACACTCCAGTCACCTTATTAAAATCTATCACAGAAAAAATGCCTTGGCTGCCAGGCGTTGTGAGGGTGAACTTGGACGGTCAGGATTTGTCCCTCAGTATTCAAAATGTGAGGCACTAGCATCACTTTGTTAATGTTCACATGGCTAGTGATCCTGTGTTATTTTAAAACTTGGTAGTTACTATTCAAAAATCAATTCTGATTTTTTTTTCTTCATTTTTAATCTTTCAAGAGGTTGTCCTTCAGCCCGCGCCAGCCATCACTTACCGCACCACTGGGGGCATTCTCGACTTCTATGTGTTCCTGGGAAACACTCCAGAGCAAGTTGTTCAAGAATATCTAGAGGTAAACTTAGAATGTCATGATGATGACTGAGGAAATCCTAAACAGCAAATATTTTTAAAAAGTAAATTTCATGTGCAAGTGTGACTTACAAAAATCTGCTGTTATGAATTTGAGATATTAAAGAATAGATTTCATATATGAAATGGAACCTTGCTGTATAGCATTTTTATGTTATAAAAAGGTGAGAGAATATAAAGATGCCCCAAGTGGCCCTACCCTCCCAGATTTATGAAGGGGCTGGAAAAACAGACTAACATTCTAACATTAATGAATCCGTCCGTTGGGAAATGGAATATGTTTGGTGCGTTGAAACCAATGCTTCGAAAAATTTTTATTAAAAACAGAATTTGCTAATTTTCATGTAACTTATTTCTTTCAGCTCATTGGGCGGCCAGCCCTTCCCTCCTACTGGGCGCTTGGATTTCACCTCAGTCGTTACGAATATGGAACCTTAGGCAATATGAGAGAAGTCGTGGAGAGAAATCGCGCAGCACAACTCCCTTATGTAAGAAAGGCTTCCAACAGTTCTCCAAAAGTAAAGAAATTCCCTTGAAGAAAAAGAACAACTCATTTTTTTTCAAGGAACCAGTTCTTTATAGTATGAAATAGACTGGGAGACCGCAATTATTTGTTGGAGGGCAATCTGTTTTTTTTTTCTATTTTTCTTATTATGTATTTTATTAGTAAACATTTTTGTGCTTACTGTATTGACTACATTTTACAGGTGTTTTTATTTGAGTTTTCAAGGCATTTGTCTCTTTGGCTTGAATTGTATCTTTTTAATGCTCCTCAGTAGGGATTTTCTTGCCTTACACACGTTCTTGGTTTGTTTTGGCTCAAAAATGTCATGGCAGGGACTGACCATAAAAGTTGTATCATATTTTTAGGAATTCCTTTAAGATTCTGGCATAAGATTTTGTGTCTAAATTCTTAGATCTTAGGTTTAGTGTCAGGTAATGAACGAAGCAAATCTCCAGTCTCCCTACCTATGTATTAACAGATGTTTTGAAGACAAATTGAGGAAGCGGAATAGTTCTAGACCCTATGAATTTAGTTAGGAATAATCATATTACTGGAGCAACCATGAGCCATCCAGGTTAGCATCATTTTTTGCACAGATAGTAAACTGAGGCTGTCAGGGGAAATAACATGACCAAGACCATATAGATAGTTGATGACAGAACTAATACTGCATGACTACATGGATGTGAAAAATAATACAACAAGTTTTAGGTCCATGTGTTCTGACATTGGTATTTCATTACTACTGAATTGGCAATAAACAGAATTTGCCTTTCTCTGTAGAGTTGTCATTTTGCAAGTGAAGCAGAGCTTCAGTAGACATTTTGTAATTTGGTGGAAAGATAGTCCATAAATATGAAGTGTAAAAGAAAGTACTTAATGGAATTGAGATTCAAAAAGCCTAGGAACACTGAGGAGATGGGGGAAACAAAGTCAGAGTACGTGAAGGTGTTTGGTTGGATGAATTCACTCTCAGGTTAGCTGCAGAAAGTCAGGGTAGATAAAGACGTTTGGGTGCATGAATCCACTGTCAGGTTGACTGTAGGTCCCACTACTCATTCTCCAGCACGACATGGCTTTGCACATGTAGGGGTTGGTTGGAGGAGGGATAACAGAAAAAGTGGTAAAAGCAGGATTGAGCCAAAGGATAATGAACACAGCCACCATAATAATGAGCGCTACAATGCGGTGAACCCTCGTGGCAGGCAGTGTGCTAGATGCCTTTTTTAGTTATCTCAGCAACTCCGTTTTACTCTTAGAACTCCATTTAAGATTAGAAATCCCAGCCGGGCGTGGTAGTTCAAGCCTGTAATCTGTGCATTTTGGGAGGCTGAGGTGGGCAGATCACAAACTTAGGAGTTCAAGACCAGCTGGCCAGAATGGGAAAACCCTGTCTTTACAAAAAATACAAAAAATTAGCTGGGCACAGTGACATGTGCCTGCAGCCCCAGCTACATGGGAGGCTGAGGCAGGAGAATTGCTTGAACCAGGCAGATGGAGGTTGCGGTGAACTGAGATCGCACCACTGCACTCCAACCTGGGTGACAGAACGAGACTCTGTCCAGAAAAAAAAAGAAAAAGATTAGAAATCCCATTTAATTTTAGAAAACCAGAGGAACTAGTTTTCAAGCCCAAATCTCTAATAACATGGTGGCTATCTCTTTTTTTATGTCATTTTTTCCTTACATATAGCTAGACATTTCCTTTTTAAGTGATCCAGAAAATGAAAGAATTGAACTGTTAATGGTGCCTAGTGGCATGAGATGTGAAAGGGAGTGTTATGACAGGGAATTGAACACTATTAACAGAGTTCAGTATACATGTCAAAACCTGCTTCATTTAAGTGAATAAAAGTATATGGTATGGATATGTAATGAAATATTTTTGTACTTTGAATGGCTAAATTTGATTGTATCTATTATATTGAGTACTATTGGGAATGAAGTTTAACACGAGATGCAAAGGGCAAAGCTAAGTAGTCTCTAGAATAATCCTTTTCTCTCCCATGCTCTATTCCCTTGGAGAAGACACCTAGGTTGTAGAGAAGGGTACATTTTATCCTGGACTTCACTATGTTTGTGCAGGTAACATTAGGATAGCATTAACAACAAAGATGTGAGGTAGAAGCGAAGTAACGAAATAACACATGGGGTAGTAAAACGTGGGAGATGTGGGAAACAGACAGTCTCTTCCCTTCTTTATCTTGTGAATAGGGTGAAATTTAGGTAATTTCTTAGGTGGATATGTCTGATTGTCTTAGCGATTTGTCATAATTGGTGTTGTTTGTTAGATTAGTAGATTGGTTTTTAATGCCAGAGTGTCAGGCAAGGACAGGATGATTGATGCAGTTAACCTGCTGGCAGGGATGCGACCAAGCCTTAGGGAACCAACCGGTCATGTGTTTTTGAAGTCACCATTGGAAAAGAAGCACTCAGTTGCCAGGAACTGCCTCAGGACTCTGTTTAGAGCCCAGCACAGACTTGCTGTGTATCCTGAATAATAACAATGAAAATTTGATTCATTTTACCATGGAAATTCCTAGGTGCTGATTGTGGACTTTCTGTATTCTTTCAGGATGTTCAGCATGCTGATATTGATTATATGGATGAGAGAAGGGACTTCACTTATGATCCAGTGGATTTTAAAGATTTCCCTGAGTTTGTCAAGGAGTTACACAATAATGGACAGAAGCTTGTCATCATTGTGGTATGTACTGCACTCTTTGCCCGAAATTACGTATTTGCTCCTCTGTATCATACACCCATCACCTCTGCTTTCTTCCCCAGTTCCCAGTCTCCTTTCAGTGCCTCCAGCTTCTAGCTAATTTCTCCATCGCATTTTTTCTCTTTTTAGGATCCAGCCATCTCTAACAACTCTTCCTCAAGTAAACCCTATGGCCCATATGACAGGGGTTCAGATATGAAGATATGGGTGAATGGTTCAGATGGAGTCACTCCACTCATTGGGGAGGTAACTTAATGCGGAGGCTGGAGGCTGGTAGAGGGGCTGTGTAGGGATGTGTGAGAGTGTGTGTGTGTGTGTGTGTGTGTGTGTGTGTATGCATGTCATTGTTTTGTTCTACATTTTCAGTGTATTTACATATGCTGGGGATAAATTCTCCTCTGCCTTTTCATGCCCAGGTGCATACTAGCCATCCGGGCTTTTTGATTCCCCTCACTGAGTGTCCACTTCCTCACCTCCCACACACTCTGCGGCAGACTGTGGTCTCCTTTCTTTCCGCATCACTTCCTTGACACTACTCTGGCAAAAAGCACCTATTGCTTTCTCACTGGTAAATCCAGCGGAACTGTTTCATGACTCTTCTTACTCAATTTTCCTGCAGTATTTGACAAGTGTACCCACTTCTTTCTCAAATGTTTGTTTATCCTTTTTTTTTTCAGGAAGGTGTTATCTGCTTGTTCACTTCTGAGACCTCTGATGACCTTTCAAAGTATAGTGTCTGAGGGAAATTGGATAGGACAGAGAGAAAAGTAAATGATGTTAGGATCTACAGCTTATAATGGACTTGCTGAAATTTACACAGTTCTCTTCCCTCATTTACTATTCCCAGAATTAAGAACAAAGAAAGTGATAGAGAGTTGAAGATGAGTAAGTTAGACAATTCCTTTGAAGAGGAAAAATTAACAAAAATAAAAGTAACGCAGGAAAGAGAAGCATGTGCTTAAAAAAGAAAAAATAAATTTTGTTTATAAAAGAAAAAATAAGCAAAATTCCCTGAGTCCTTCCCCTACCCATGGGATTGTATCCTGCTTTGCAAGTTTTATAAGTTTATAAATTCTTGTATTCTTGTTCTCTTTTGCTGATAACTGTAAGTTTCTGTAGCACAGCAAAGGTCATAAGAAATCCTCAAGCAGGCAGGACTCCAGCCTTCCGGGCACTGTAGCAGAAGGCAATAGATACAGCCAGTGCTAGAATCCTTGAGCTCTACAGATAGCGAACATCTGGGTTGCATAGCAATGGTCATATGTCAACCTAAGTTAGGTACTTATCATTGCTTAATCAATTGCCTTTGCTCTACACCTGCAAACTTGTTTTCGTGCCACTGTGTACTTCATGTATAAAAAGTCAAGCCCTGCCTTTGTTAAGGACTCAGCCGTTTTGTTCCCAGTCAGGGAACCAGCTGGGCCAGTGCACACCTAAAATAAACTCCTTCTGTAACCTCAACGGTCTCTCCAGTCTCTGAAATCCTGCAACACCTTTAACCACAAATTTATTCATTAAGGACTTAAACATTTTTTGAAGTGCATTTTTCTTCAAGTGACCCTGACATTTAAGTATTCTGAACACTACACCTTCCTAACTAAATAGGATGTGTTCCCGGTGACCTTGGTTGCTGTGATCATGTTGGGAATGTTTTGCAAAGTACTTTACTTTATTCTATATTTGTTTAATTTACTCTTATTCATGTTTTTCTTTTTTTCCTGAAGGTCTGGCCTGGACACACTGTGTTTCCTGATTATACCAATCCCAACTGTGCTGTTTGGTGGGCAAAGGAACTTGAGCTTTTTCACAATCAAGTAGAGTTTGATGGAATCTGGATTGTGAGTTGTTTACACTTGGATTATTAGGTGGCAAATATTCAGATTGTGTACATCTGTATCTGTATCTTTGAGTCATGGAGAGGAGGAGGACAAGAAAGGAAGTATGGCAATAATATTCTCAATATTCACTGTCTTACTATTCAAATAATCTTACTAAAACACATAGCTTAGAATAAAAATCAGAATGTTAGAGCTGAAAGGACACTCAGAAATTTTTTCACAAGTCTAGTTCTTTTCTTCTTCTTCTTTTGTTCTTTTACAAATGAATGAGCTGAAGTGAAGATAGGTCCTTACATTGTTGCAAAGTATATAAATTATTCAATTGCTAGTTCAGGACTCTTCCATTTGGACATGTTAAACAAATTGATCAGAGCCAAAGTACTCAGGTGCATGAACAAACTGTGCCTGTGGTAAAGAAAAATGTCTCATATGATGTCAGATGAAAGCAAATGTAACCTAGCCGAGGGTTAGCAAAATTTACGGAGCCCCAGGGTTGAACCTTTTTCTTTTTCTAAGAGAACTATAAGGCTAGGCACGGTGGCTCATGGTTGTAATCCCAGTACTTTAGGAGGCTGAGGTGGGTGGATCACAAGTTCGAGACCAGCCTGGCCAATATAATGAAACCCCATCTCTACTAAAAATACAAAAACTAGCTGGAGGTGATGGTGCATGCCTATAGTCCCAGCTACTCGGGGCTGAGGCAGGAAAATCGTTTGAACTTGGGAAGCGGAGGTTGTGGTGAGCTGAGATCACGCCACTGCACTCCAGCCTGGGCAACAGAGTGAGACTCCATCTCCAAAAAAAATTAAAAAAAAAAAGAGAGAACTGTAAAAAATTCAAACAATACCGACAGCTAAAAAGATAAAAGCAAAAATCCTCTGAAATTATAGCAACCAAAGCCATTGATTATCAGTATATTAGAATGCATCTTTCTAGACCTTTCACATGTGCTCTTTCTCATTCTTTCTCCATATGTATGTTTATATGTATTTATATGGATATATATTTAGAGTTATATTTACATATATGGAAAATGTATAAGTTGAAACATATGGCAACATATAAACTGATTTTTTTTCACCTGATATGTTTGAGAATTGTTCATTTTTAGCGATTATGCATATATTATTTGAAGAGTTGTTAAAAGCCTTCTTCATGAAGCCTTCAGTGGGTAGACAAGACACGAACACCTACTCTATTCCATATACATAAATACCCCTTTAAAATATCTAGAATAATTTATCTGATTCATTAAAAAAAAGACAATATTAGTACCTCATAAAGGACCATGTTACTTTTTCTTAATAGTTTTTGCTCTTTGTCTTGTAGGATATGAATGAAGTCTCCAACTTTGTTGATGGCTCGGTCTTAGGATGTTCTGCAAACAACCTAAATTATCCTGCATTCATTCCCAGTAAGTCTTGGTAGTCAGCAGATTAAAGTAGAAATATGTATTTCATATTTTAAATTCATAAGGACAGATCTGAAAAATCTGGCAAGGGCATTTGTTCATATGTGTGCACAGAAAAAGAAGAATGTGGGGAATATAAGGAAAGCTAGGAAGGAAAATAAAAACACTCTATGCTTTCCTAAAAGAGGCACAAATGCAAAAGGGGCTGTCTAGTACTTCTACTTATAGTCAAAGCTATTTCTAGGTAAAGAGCTAGAGAAGATATGGTGTAGAGGCCAGAGGCTAGTGGTAAGTTTATGTTATTCTCAGGTATGTACCCACAGACCAGGGTTTACCAGAGAGACACCAGATAACAAACCTTCATCTTCAGGTGAGGGTTATGTCTGACGTGTCCACAGAGTGAAGAACTGAGCCACAGGATGAGAAGAAGACAGAACTCATGACCTTGGAGGTCGAAGTCAGGGAGCGTGGTGATACCCAGCTTTGACTGAACTTTGGACAACATTATCTCTCAGGGTGTGGCCTTGGAATTATAGCATTGGCCATAGTTTGAAGAATGCTTGAGGTTCAAGGTCAGATTATATCTTGACTGAGAAAGGAAAAAACTGCTAGTTTGATAATTTATGAAGGCTTCAGTCTGGTGGAAAGAGAGAAAATTGGGGCAGGTAGGTTAGAATCAAATGCTGAGGGACTTGGATGAGAGGCTAAACAGTTCATATTTTATTCTTTTGGTAACAGAAACTACTTATCTTATAATAAGAGAGAAGCATAGTTGTCAGATGGTAATGTGGATCTCAACCAGAGTGGTGCAATGGGAGGAGCAGAGAGGAATGGATGAATACAAGAGAGATTGGAAATCGTTCTCTACAATATATTAACCGTGCAGAGAAGGACTCAGAAGTTAATTTACACTTTCATTCAATATCTATTTTTGGACCACTTAACTTAGCTCAGTTTGAAGAATTCAGATTGAACTTCAGGTCTGACCGAAACTTCTTGCTTCGATGTGTCTGCCTCTAATCACACGAGAGCTCGGGTGGGAGGACGTGTGGGGGTCAGAAGAATTCATTTATCTATCAGAGAAACTACTCCAAATGGATAGTGTTCTAAGAGTAAGGGAACAGTGTGACTGTTTACAGGATGTCTGCAAAAGTGCCTCCCCAGGGGGCTGTCATTTCGGTTTGTGTGATAGTCAAAGAGCAGGAAATGTGCAACTCAGGCTCTCACCGATTGATCCCTCTTTTGTTTTAGGAATCCTAGATGGGTGCCTGTTCTGCAAGACTCTCTGTATGGATGCAGTGCAGCACTGGGGCAAGCAGTATGATGTTCACAATCTGTATGGCTACTCCATGGCAGTCGCCACGGCAGAGTAAGACCACTATGGCTAGGACCTGCTGATTATAAAGAATATAGATGTGTGTGTGTGTGTGTGTGTGTGTGTGTGTGTGTGTGTGTGTGTGTGTGTTTATATGTGTTTTTAATTATTGTAGATTATGGGGTTAATGAATAAAATTTCTTAATACAAAACAAAGCAAAACAAAACATATTTAATGGTGCAGAATGCTCCCAGTAGGGACTCTAATTCTACTGAAAGAGAGCTGGAAGAGAAGAATGGGTTATTCATTTTTAATGTCTTTGGTATTGTTGCTGTATTCCTGGGCTGAGATAAGCAAAGGTCCCACACTGACTCCTTAAATCTCTCTCCCTTTCTAGAGCTGCCAAGACTGTGTTCCCTGATAAGAGAAGCTTCATTCTGACCCGTTCTACCTTTGCGGGGTCTGGCAAGTTTGCAGCACATTGGTTAGGAGACAACACAGCCACCTGGGACGACCTTCGATGGTCCATCCCTGGAATGCTTGAGTTCAACCTTTTTGGTATCCCAATGGTGAGTTGCTACCTCAAGGTCTCCTATGAATCTGAATTCCCAGAAAGCTTCATTTTAGAAAATTTTTGAGCCACAAAACTCCCCTCTCCTGCCTGCCATGGCTGGGGATTTAATGTCTTAAGAACGTGTGCTTCATCTATATCAACAGGGCTTTGATACCATGACATTCTTTCCTGTACTACTGTAGGAAGATAGAAGGTGCAACTTTGACATTTGCTGGAATATATCTTTTTATTGAAGTATAACATACTTTATACAGAAAAGTGTATGTATCCTTAAGAATACAGCTGATGAATTTCACCAACTGAACACATCTGTGTATCTAGTACCAAGATAGTACCAAGAACTGTAACATTGCCAGCACCCTAGGGGCTTTGACATTTTTAAGTTAAATCCAACATGTTTATGAATTGAGCTCCTAGAATGTCCAAGGTCTTGAGCAGAGTAGGCATGGTGAGAGGGAAGGAAAGCGTAAATATAGTAAAGATGCCCCTTCTCTTTGCCCAGAGGGTTTACAGTTTAGTAAGAGGAGACATATGTGTGAATAAATAATTATGACAAACTAGGGTAAAAAGACCAACAGGGACATATGAGTTAAACGTTATGGGAGATCCCAAGAAAGGGATTCATCTGACAAAATTATGAAGGACAAAAGGAATCAAGGCAGGGAGTCAAGAGACATTTCATGGAAAAGATAACATTTGAAATTAAACTCGAAAAGCAAGTATTTTTCATCTGACTAATGAGAAGTTCATTTTAATACTGAGAAATAAAGCTGAGCAAAAACAGTATAAGGGGGATTATTTGATGTATCTATAAGGATTGGTGTGTGGGACTGGAATGAGAAATGATGCTAAAAATGTGGGTTCGAACCGGGTTTTAAAGAGCTAAAAGGATGAACAGCAAGGAAGTACTGGAGATTTTTTAATAGGTGAATGACATGGTCAGAGTTAGGCTTTAGAAAAATAATGCTGATAGTGGTGAGGTCAAAATAATAATATCAACAGTATTGCCAGGTCCTAGGCATCCAAAAACTCTTGTACGTAAAGTGTACGACTTTAATTATCTCACTCATTTACTAAATACCTGTGTAGTTATTTAGTACTAACTAACAAAATGAGAAAAGTGAGGCACAGAAGGGTTGAGTAACTTACTCAAAGTCATCCAGCATTCAAGAGTGAACACAGGCTGTGACTCAATTCTGACCACCCTCCTAGCCTTCTAGGTCAGAGGTTTAAACAAGGTTCAGTTGGGAGATCCCTGGTGGAAAGCAAAGAAGAGTGGCAGAAGGAAGTGAGGTATACCTGTTGTCTGGGTGTCTTTCCAGGTGGGTGCTGACATATGTGGCTTTGCCTTGGACGCCCCTGAGGAGCTCTGTAGGCGATGGATGCAGCTGGGCGCATTTTATCCATTTTCTAGGAATCACAATGGCCAAGGATACAAGGTAAGGGTCCTAGGAAACAGAGTCAGAATACATTTGGCATACATTAGGACTAGATCTATTTACATCCTCGCCAAGAATCTGCTGAGCCAAGCTGTTACCTGGTCTTCACTTACACTAATTTGCACCATCATGTGCAATTACCCAGAACATGTGCTGTATCATCAAAATGCCCGACTGCCTCAGCCTGTTATTTGCTGCTGCATTCAAGGAAATGGCATCTGTAAAGGTCTTTAGTCAAATTTCTGTCCACTTTATCTACATTGCTTACTTTTAAATAAGAAGCAAACAAGGAAATACTTCAAAATTATTTAAATTGCAGTCTCTCAAGAGAGGAGTCTTAAAGAGTGAGGGAGGCAGGATGAATAGAAACCCCAAGGAGAGACATTTACTCGGTACTGCTCAGAAGTGAGGTTTGCAACCTAGACCCCTGTCATTCAGAAGGGAAATTCCTGGTTGTAATGAATGAGATCTGGAATTCTGCAGATGCTTCTGCCATCCTGCAGCCAAACCACAACTGCAAACTCCTATTTCCTTGCAGGAACAGGACCCTGCCTCCTTTGGAGCTGACTCCCTGCTGTTGAATTCCTCCAGGCACTACCTTAACATCCGCTATACTCTATTGCCCTACCTGTACACCCTCTTCTTCCGTGCTCACAGCCGAGGGGACACAGTGGCCAGGCCCCTTTTGCATGAGTAAGTTGACCTAACCTCCTCAAATTTTATTAATGTATCTGGAATGACACTGACTATATCATCAAATATCAGAGTGAAAAGTGAAACAATTCAGGCAGTTATTCAGATCTATCTATATATCTATCATCTATCTCAATTAATCTATCACTCTATCTGACTGGAATACCTAGTTGGTATTTGTAAGCCTTACCTGTTCTCTTTTGGTGAGAGAATTAGGCTAAAAGTCATGGGACTTTGGGTTTTTTCTTTGTTATGCCACTCACTAGCCCTATATCGTGGAAAAATCATATTTTTCTTAGTTTCTTTAGTCTTAGTTTAAAGGATTTGAAATCTTGTCTGTGATGGTCTCTTCTGTAACGCACTAGAACGCCAGAAGTATGTTCAAGCTGAAGCTGTAGGAATAAGCCTATAACATAAATACAAATGAGGATATTTTAAAGGATTTGTAGAATTTCAGAATTCTTATTTCTCAGACAATGACCATCTCTAACTTAATTCTAAAACAGGGCACTTAAAGGCATTTTCTTGTCAAAGTACAGTCAACTCCCTTATGTGGGTGACATATGAGGCCCTCAGGCACATATCAAGCTATTATATATTCATTATTTTGGGAAGTTTTTGTCTGCTCATGAAATTTCTTGTCAAAATGCAGATATCCTGAAAGAGAAAAAAGTAAAATATTAAATTGCCTGGTATTTTGGATAACCAGATCTAGTTTCTTGATACTTAGCTGAAGTTCTGAAATGTATTGATTATTTAACTTATTTTTTTATTTTAAATTTTTGTGGGTCCATAGTAGGTGCATATATTTGTGGGGTATATGAGATATTTTGATACAGGTACGCAATGTAACATTATGGAAATTGGGTATCCATCCCCTCGAGCATTTATCCTTTGAGTTATAAACAATCCAATTACATTCTTTAAGTTACTTTTAAATGTACAATTAACTTATTATTTACTATAGTCACCCTATTGTGCTATCAAATCATAGATTTTATTCATTCTTTCTATTTTTCCGTACCTGTTAACCATCTTCACTTCCCTCCCAGCCCCCCACTACCCTTCCCAGCCTCTGGTAACCATCCTTTCACTCTCTGTGTCATGAGTTGTTGGTTTTTAGATCTCACAAATAGGTGAGAACATGTGATGTTTGTCTTTATATGCCTGGCTTATTTCATATAACATAATGATCTCCAGTTCCATTCATGTTGATGCAAATGTCTGGATCTCAGATAACTTACTTTTTTTTTTTTTTTTTTTTTTTTTTAAAAAAAAAAAAAAGAGGGATATGGAAAATAAAATACAGCCAGGGACCTGCCTAGCATAGATACTGGAATGGAAACATCTGTTCATCCTGAGGGAAGAATAGGAGACGTGGGCTGGGGAAGGGGAACCTATCTAGGAGTGCATAGGGGATTGAGTAGGTGTCACAGAATAATTCCAGAGGTTTGCCCAGGCTGCTAGCCTGCATGCTTTCAACAAGTTGTGAGTAGAGCTTCAATAAATCTCATTGGCAGTGACCCAAATCTCAGTGAACTGTCTCTCTTGTCACTAGGTTCTATGGGGACAACAACACTTGGGATGTGCACCAACAGTTCTTATGGGGGCCTGGCCTCCTCATCACTCCAGTTCTGGATGAAGTAAGTGTTCCCACAGAGATACGCTAGGGATCTCTGCTTCTGTTCCTGCTGTCCTGCAAACTCCTTTCTCCTTATTCGAAACTCATTTCCAACATCTCTGACGGAGTCAGCCTCAAAGAGAGTATGCTAGGTTTTGAGAAGGTAGACATCTGGTAATTACACATTTTCTGTTTTAGAATTTTTTTTCTTGATGAAGTTTCCAACCAGTTTAGAAGCATTTACTGGAAACTCTATATTACAAGTTAGGTTAGGTTGCTCTTGCATTGCTATAAATTTCTGACACAGTAATTTACAAGAAAAGAGATTTAATTGGCTCATGATTCTGCAAGCTTTATAAGAAGCATGATCTGCGCAGCTTCTAGGGAGGCCTCAGGAAGCTTACAGTCATGGAGGAAGGCAAAGCAGGAGCAGGGATGTCACATAGCAAAAGCAGGAACAAGACAGAGAGTCAGGAGAGGTGACAGACTCTTTTTTTTTTTTCCCCATTTATTTATTTTATTGCATTTTGGGTTTTGGGGTACATGTGAAGAACATGCAAAATTGTTGCATAGGTACACACGTGGCAGTGTGATTTGCTGCCTTCCATCCCGTCACCTACATCTGGCATTTCTCCCCTTGCTATCTCTCCCCAGCTCCCCACCCCCCACCGTTCCTCCCCTATTTCCCCCCAACTGACCCCAGTGTGTAGTGCTCCCCTCCCTGTGTCCATGTGTTCTCATTGTTCAACACCCGCCTATGAGTGAAAACATGCGGTGTTTGATCTTCTGCTCTTCTGTCAGTTTGCTGAGAATGATGGTTTCCAGGTTCATCCATGTCCCTACAAAGGACCCAAACTCATCGTTTTTGATGGCTGCACAATATTCCATGGTGTATATGTGCCGCATTTTCCCTATCCAGTCTATCGTCGATGGGCATTTGGGTTGGTTCCAGGTCTTTGCTATTGTAAACAGTGCTGCAATGAACATTCGCGTGCACGTGTCCTTATAGTAGAACGATTTGTAATCCTTTGGATATATACCCAGTAATGGGATTGCTGGGTCAAATGGAATTTCTATTTCTAGGTCCTTGAGGAATCGCCACACTGTCTTCCACAATGGTTGAACTAATTTACACTCCCACCAACAGTGTAAAAGTGTTCCTATTTCTCCACATCCTCTCCAGCGTCTGTTGTCTCCAGATTTTTTAATGATCGCCATTCTAACTGGCGTGAGATGGTATCTCAATGTTGTTTTGATTTGCATTTCTCTGATGACCAGTGATGATGAGCATTTTTTCATATGTTTGTTGGCCTCATGTATGTCTTCTTTTGTAAAGTGTCTGTTCATATCCTTTGCCCACTTTTGAATGGGCTTGTTAGTTTTTTTCTTGTAAATCTGTTTTAGTTCTTTGTAAATTCTGGATATCAGCCCTTTGTCAGATGGGTAAACTGCAAAAATTTTTTCCCATTCTGTTGGTTGCCGATTCACTCTAATGACTGTTTCTTTTGCTGTGCAGAAGCTGTGGAGTTTGAATAGGTCCCATTTGTCTATTTTGGCTTTTGTTGTCAATGCTATTGGTGTTTTGGTCATGAAGTCCTTGCCTACGCCTATGTCCTGAATGGTTTTGCCTAGATTTTCTTCTAGGGTTTTTATGGTGTTAGGTCTTATGTTTAAGTGTTTAATCCATCTGGAGTTAATTTTAGTGTAAGGTGTCAGGAAGGGGTCCAGTTTCTGCTTTTTGCACATGGCTAGCCAGCTTTCCCAACACCATTTATTGAACAGGGAATCCTTTCCCCATTGCTTGTTTTTGTCTGGTTTGTCAAAGATCAGATGGTTGTAGATATGTTGTGCTGCTTCCGAGACCTCTGTTCTGTTCCATTGGTCTATATCTCTGTTTTGGTACCAGTACCATGTTGTTTTGATTACTGTAGCCTTGTAGTATAGTTTGAAGTCCAGTAGTGTGATGCCCCCCGCTTTGTTCTTTTTGCTTAGAATTGACTTGGCTATGTGGGCTCTCTTTTGGTTCCATATGAAGTTTAAGGTGGTTTTTTCCAGTTCTGTGAAGAAGGTCATTGGTAGCTTGATGGGGATAGAATTGGATCTGTAAATTACTTTGGGCAGTATGGCCATTTTCACGATATTGATTCTTCCTAACCATGAACATGGAATGTTTCTCCATCTGTTTGTGTCCTCTCTTATTTCATTGAGCAGTGGCTTGTAGTTCTCCTTGAAGAGATCCTTTACGTTCCTTGTTAGTTGTATTCCTAGGTATTTTATTCTCTTTGTGGCAATTGTGAATGGAAGTTTGTTCTTGATTTGGCTCTCTTTAAGTCTGTTATTGGTGGATAGGAATGCATGTGATTTTTGCACATTGATTTTGTAATCCGAGACTTTGCTGAAGTTGCTTATCAGTTTCAGGAGATTTTGGGCTGAGACGATGGGGTCTTCTAGATATACAATCATGTCATCTGCAAATAGAGACAGTTTGACGTCCTCCTTTCCTATTTGAATGCCTTTATTTCTTTTTCTTGCCTGATTGCTCTGGCTAGAACTTCTAATACTATATTGAATAGCAGTGGTGAGAGAGGGCATCCTTGTCTGGTGCCACATTTCAAGGGGAATGCTTCCAGTTTTTGCCCATTCAGTATGATATTGGCTGTTGGTTTGTCATAAATAGCTTTTATTATTTTGAGATACGTTCTGTCAGTACCTAGCTTATTGAGGGTTTTTAGCATAAAGGGCTGTTGAATTTTGTCAAAGGCCTTCTCTGCATCAATTGAGATAATCATGTGGTTTTTGTCTTTGGTTCTGTTTATGTGGCGAATTACGTTTATAGACTTGAGTATGCTGAACCAGCCTTGCATCCCCCGGATGAAGCCTACTTGATCATGGTGGATAAGCTTTTTGATGTGCTGTTGCAATCGGCTTGTCAGTATTTTATTGAAGATTTTTGCATCTATGTTCATCATGGATATTGGCCTGAAGTTTTCTTTTCTTGTTGGGTCTCTGCCAAGTTTTGGAATCAGGATGATGTTGGTCTCATGAAATGATTTGGGAAGAATTCCCTCTTTTTTTATTGTTTGGAATAGTTTCAGAAGGAATGGTACCAGCTCCTCTTTGTATGTCTGGTAGAATTCAGCTGTGAACCCATCTGGACCTGGGCTTTTTTTGGGTGGTAAGCTCTTAATTGCTGCCTCAACTTCAGACCTTGTTATTGGTGTGTTCAGGGTTTCGGCTTCTTCTTGGTTTAGGCTTGAGAGGAGGCAAGTGTCCAGGCATTTATCCATTTCTTCCAGGTTTATTAGTTTGTGTGCATAGAGTTGTTTGTAATAATCTCTGATGATGGTTTGAATTTCTGTGGAATCTGTGGTGATATCCCCTTTATCGTTTTTTATTGCATCAATTTGGTTATTCTCTCTTTTCTTTTTAATTAATCTGGCTAGTGGTCTGTCTATTTTGTTGATCTTTTAAAAAAACCAGCTCCTGGATTTATTGATTTTTTGAAGGGTTTTTTGTGTCTCTATCTCCTTCAGTTCTGCTCTGATCTTAGCTATTTCTTGTCTTCTGCTAGACTTTGAGTTTTTTTGATCTTGCTCTTCTAGCTCTTTCAGTTTTGATGATAGGGTGTCAATTTTTGATCTCTCCTTGCTTCTCATGTGGGCACTTATTGCTATATATTTTCCTCTAGAGACTGCTTTAAATGTGTCCCAGAGATTCTGGTATGTTGTGTCTTCATTCTCGTTGGTTTTGAAGAACATCTTTATTTCTGTCTTCATTTCATTGTTTATCCAGTCAACATTCAAGAGCAAGTTGTTCAGTTTCCATGAAGCTGTGCGGTTCTGGGTTAGTTTTTGAATTCTGAGTTCTAACTTGATTGCACTGTGGTCTGAGAGACTGTTTGTTATGATTTCCATTCTTTTGCATTTGCTGAGGAGCGATTTACTCCCAATTATGTGGTTGATTTTAGAGTAGGTGTGATGTGGTGCTGAGAAAAATGTATATTCTGTGGATTTGGGGTGGAGAGTTCTGTAAATGTCTATTAGGTTTGCTTGTGCCAGGTCTGAGTTCAAGTTCTGGATATCCTTGTTAATTTTCTGTCTGGTTGATCTGTCTAATGTTGACAATGGGGTGCTAAAGTCTCCCACTATTATTGTGTGGGAGTCTAAGTCTCTTTGTAAGTCATTAAGAACTTGCCTTATGTATCTGGGTGCTGCTGTATTGGGTGCGTATATATTTAGGATCATTAGCTCTTCTTGTTGCATTGGTCCTTTTACCATTATGTAATGTCCCTCTTTGTCTCTTATGATCTTTGTTGCTTTAAAGTCTAATTTATCAGAGATGAGAATTGCAACTCCTGCTTTTTTTTGCTCTCCATTTGCTTGGTAAATCTTCCTCCATCCTTTTATTTTGAGCCTTTGTGTATCCTTGCATGTGAGATCGGTTTCCTGGATACAGCACACTGATGGGTTTTTGTCTTTTTATCCAATTTGCCAGTCTGTGTCTTTTGATTGGGGCATTTAGTCCATTTACATTTAGGGTTAATATTGTTATGTGTGAATTTGATACTGCCATTTTGGTGCTAGCTGGGTGTTTTGCCCTTTAGTTGAGCTGGTACTTGTTGTTCCTTTATATGTGTAGAGCCTCTTTCAGGAGCCCTCGTATAGCTGGCCTGGTGGTGACGAATTCTCTGAGTACTTGCATGTTCACAAAGGATTTTATTTTTCCTTCACTTATGAAGCTTAGTTTGGCTGGATAGGAGATTCTGGGTTGAAAGTTCTTTTCTTTAAGGATGTTGAATATTGGCCCCCATTCTCTTCTGGCTTGTAGGGTTTCTGCTGAGAGATGTGCTGTGGGTCTGATGGGCTTCCCTTTATGGGTAACCCAACCTTTCTCTCTGGCTGCCCTTAGTATTTTCTCCTTCATTTCAACCCTGGTGAATCTGACGATTATGTGCCTTGGGGTTGCTCTTCTTGACGAATATCTTTGTGGTGTTCTCTGTATTTCCTGGACTTGAATGTTTGCCTACCTTGCTAGGTTGGGGAAGTTTTCCTGGAGAATATCCTGAAGCGTATTTTCCAGGTTGGATTCATTCTCTTTGTCGCATTCAGGTACGCCTATCAAACGTAGATTAGGTCTTTTCACATAGTCCCACATTTCTTGGAGACTTTGTTCATTCCTTTTTACCCTTTTCTCCAGTCTTGCCTTCCCGTTTTATTTCATTGAGTTGATCTTCGACCTCTGATATCCTTTCTTCTGCTTGGTCCATTCGGCTGTTGATACTTGTGCATGCTTCACGAAGTTCTCGTGTTGCGTTTTTCATCTCCATCAATTCACTTATATTCCTTTCTATTTTGTCCATTCTCCTTAGCATTTCATCAAATCTTTTTTCAAGGTTCTTAGTTTCTTTGCATTTGGTTAGAACATGTTCTTTAAGTTCACAGAAGTTTCTTACTACCCACCTTCTGAAGTCTGATTCTGTCATTTCATCACACTCGTTCTCCATCCAACCTTGTTCCCTTGCTGGTGAGGAGTTGTGATCCCTTGTAAGAGGAGAGGTGTTCTGGCTTCGGGTGTTTTCATCCTTTTTGGGCTAGTTTCTTCCCATCTTTAAGGATTTATCCACCCGTCGACTTTGTAGTTGCTGACTTTCAGATTGGGTCTCAAATCTTTCAGATTGACGTTCTGTTTGTTGATGATGAGGTTATTTCTGTTTCTTGGTTTTCCTTCTGGCAGTCTGGCCCCTGTGCTGTAGGTCTGCCGAGGTTCACTCCAGGCCCTGCTTGCCTGGGGTTCACCTGCAGCAGCTGCTGAACAGTAAGGGTTGTTACCAGTTTTCTTCTTCTGCTATCTTTGTCCCAGAAGGATACCCGCCTAGTGTCAATCTGATCTCTCTTTTATGAGGTGTCTCTTTGGATATGTAGGGGTCAGGGAGCTGCTTGAGGAGACGGTCTCTTCTTTATAGGAGCTGAAATGGTGAGCTGTGAGCTCTGTTGTTGTTCATTCAGAGCTGCTGGGCAGGTACATTTAGGTCTGCTGCAGCAGAACTCATAAACTGCTTTTTGTTCCCAGGTGCTCTGTCCCAGGGATTTAGGGCTTTATTTATGAGTTTCCGTTACACTGCTGCCTTCTTTTTTTTTTTTTCCTTCAGACCTGCCCAGCCCAGCAAGGAGGCAGCCTAGTCACTGTCGGCCTATAGCAGCTTTGCTGAGCTGCTGTGGGCTCCGCCCCGCTGCCGAGCGACTTCCCTGCAGTCCTGTTTATATGGGTGTAGTTAGAACTGCTTTGGCGATGGTGGCCCGCCTCTGTTGAGGCGGAGTCTCTCTGCTGTGGCGGGTTGCCTTGGCAATGGCGGGCTGCCTCAGCAATGGCGGGTTGCCTTGGCAACGGCGGGCTGCCGCCCCTCCCCCACAGAGCTGGACCATCCCGGGTTCAGCTGCGCTTGCTGTGAAACTCTCAATCCAGAGTTTCTGGTTGCTGTTCGTCTGTGGGGGTGGGACCAGCCGAGCCTGATCGCCTGGCTGCCTGCCTCAGAGCCTTTTTTAAGTTGGTGTTCCAGTCGCCTGCTGAAGAGGCGCCGGGGTCTGTTTGTTTTCCCCTGCGGCCACTCACTGCGCTGGCTTAAACAGCGGCACTGAGGTTTGTGGTGCTTTTTTTTTTTTTTTTTGCCCTGGAATCTACTGTCCTGGTTCTCTGCTCAGTCCCCTTTTTGAACCAGCGTATGGGCGACTTCCTGTGGCTCCAATCGCCAGCCAAAAGGGCACCCGGACCGGTGTATTTTGTATGGAGAACCACAGCTTCAGGGCGCCGGCCGGCACAGCCGCGCTGGCCGTAACAGCCACACTGGCGACCGTGGAGCTCCTCTGCCTGGGAATTTCCTAGTCTGTGGGCAATAAAAACGCGGCGTCCACTCACCCTCTGCGCTTTCTCTGGGAGCTGCAAAACCAGCTGTTCCTAAACAGCCACCTTGGGGCACATATTTTTTTTTTTTTTTTTTTTTTTTTTTGTGACAGAGTCTTACTTTGCTGCCCAGGCTGGAGTGCAGTGGCACAATCCTGGCTCACTGCAACCTCTGCCTCCCAGGTTCTTGCAATTCTTGTGCCTCAGCCTCCGGAATAGCTGAGATTACAGGTGCCCCCACCACACCAGCTAATTTTGTATCTTTTGTAGAGGTGAGGTTTCACCACGTTAGCTAGGCTGGTCTCAAACTCCCAATCTCAGGTGATCTGCCTGCCTTGGCCTCCAAAGTGCTGGGATTACAGGCATGAACCACCACGCCTGGCCACCACACACTTTTAAACAACCAAATCTTATGAGAATTCACTCACTCTCATGAGGACAGAACCAAGGGAATGGTGCAAACTGTTCATAAGAAATCCTCCCTCGTGATCCAGTCACCTCCCTCCAGGCCCCACCTCCAACGCTGGGGATTACATTTCAGTGTGAGATTTGGACAGAGACAAACATCCAAACTATATCAGGAGTGGTCCTATTTGTTGTCAGATTCTCATAGCAGATCCTGACTTGCTCTATGACCTAGAAGCAGGATGGAGCAGTGACCCAGCACTCACTCTAAAGTCAGGCTGACCAGGATGTGATTGTTTTTTCTCTGCCACTTTGAGCCTGTGTGATCTGGGGTGATTATTGTGCTGACTTCTCATCTGTAGAGATGTAACAATAATAATAATAATAGTAGCTATCGTTTGGGAATGTTGGGAAAATTAAATGAGGTAATCATATAAAGCTGGAATGTTTGTCACCATACATGTTTTATTATTATTATTATTTCTAATGTGGTTACGTTTGGAATTTCTCTCTGAGTTGCCAAGTTATAGCTTCTATTATTTGTATTAGAGGAGAGGCAGAAGAAAGGATTAATAACAGAGAAAGGAAAGGGCATTCCCACCCTATCCATAAATGATTAAGAAGCTCCCTAGAGAATAAAATGAAATCTGTTTTATTTCCCTCAGGGGACACTATATTGTTTTAATTTCAGGGTGTGGAGAAAGTGACGGCATATGTGCCTGATGCTGTCTGGTATGACTATGAAACGGTAAGTAGCTTTGACTTTTCTTCTACTACTTAAGACTGCAGCATAGACAAGCGACCTATCTGGAGAGAGAGAAATCATCTACAGGCTGAGGAGTATTTTTGTAGTGTTTTCTGTAATTTCATAGCAGAACCAGGATATAAAGTTAACCTAAACCCCTAACATCTGTCATGATGAAATGTGAAAAAATACCTTCATATACTTTATTCTACAATAATTTAGAGACTGACATAGTATCTCTTTTTTTGTTGTCTGTTTGAGATAAAGTTTCGCCCTTTTTGCCCAGGCTGGAGTGCAATGGTGCAATCTCGACTCACCGCAACCTCTGCCTCCCCGGTTCAAGCAATTCTCCTGCCTCAGCCTCCCGAGTAGCTAGGACTACAGGCATGCACCACCAAGCCAGGCTAATTTTGTATTTTTAGTAGAGACAGGATTTCTCCATGTTGGTCAGACTGGTCTCGAACTCTTGACCTCAGGTGATCTGCCCGCCTCGGCCTCCCAAAGTGCTGGGATTATAGGCGTGAGCCACTGCACCTAGCCCATAGTATCTCTTAAATGAATATTGGAGGAACTGATGGACAATGTGAGCTTCATCAGGAATCACATTACTTGTTTAGAACTATTGGTTTATGTCATTTATGGCAAATAGCCTCAGCATGGCATAAATGTTCTCTCAAACCCCCAACTGATGGCAGAAAATGTTGTTCCTGATTTTTTTACTTCTCTTGTTTGATCGCCTGGCTAGACAGTAATTCAGCTAATTGGAAAAAGGGGAGAGCTATGGATCACTTGGCATGTAGATAATCAGTGAAGGACTATGTGCTGTCATGCCACTGTGTTTGATTTATCTGCATGCATCAGGGGGGCCAAGTGAAATGGAGGAAGCAAAAAGTCGAGATGGAGCTTCCTGGAGACAAAATTGGACTTCACCTTCGAGGAGGCTACATCTTCCCCACACAGCAGCCAAATACAACGACTCTGGCCAGGTATAGCATGGCTGGAGTGTCCTTTAAGGAGGATGCTGACAAAACCAGTCATTTCTGTCCCCATGTGTTGACCAAGCACCATGATGCTGAAACACCATGTGGAGTTTGGGGAGGAAGGGTATCGGGGTATGTGTGAAGGAGTAGGAGTGGGGTGTCCTCTAAATCTGTTCTTGAACTTCCCACAACCTCTGTTCAAGAAGCTGTTGATTTAGAGCTGTATCCAGATAGATTTTGAAAGACTGTAGTTTATTTACTTCCTTAAACCCTTTGAATTTCTTTTTGGAACACGCTAACAGCCATGTGATCAGCCTCCTTGGTTTGCCCAGGACTGTTGCAGTTTTAGCACCAAAAGTCTCCCCTCTTGGGTTGCTTCTCAATTCTGGGCAAACCATGTCAGTTGATCCCTCTATCTGCATTGGCCACATAGCCTATCCATATTTCTCTGCTTTTAACTCACTCTTTCTTATTTCTAGAGGGTCAGGATTCACTTTCCACCCTCCTAGAAATCTCAGCTTCCTATTTCTTTTCTCCTACTAAGATTTCTTTCTTGTGATTCAAAATTTGATTCAAAAGTTACCTCCTGCAAACCTCAAATCTCCATGTCACTGAATTTTCCTTTATACTCAATTGATTCCAACATTCTAGATTCCATCTGTACGGAAGAGGTGCACATTTATATCTTCATGCCTTTGAGAGTATTAGCCTATTTGTCTTTAATAGACTAGGAGTTCTTTGGAAGCCAGATGCCTGTCTTTTCTTTTGAACCTCTCTTACTGCTTTAATTTTCCAAATTGTAGACTTTTTACGATACTAATGGAAAATATTCCTAAATCCAATACTATTTGGCTTCCTTTTTCTAACTGTTCACCTTCAAGCTGTTCTGCACACTAATACCAAATTTATTTTTTCCAAAATGAAAATCTCAACTGGTTGCTCCCAGGCTTGAAGTCCAAACTCTTTCAATAATAGGGTATTCAAAGCCAATCACAACCTGGTTCCACATTACCTTGACAAGTCTATATTTCCTGCCACACTTTCATGTACGTACAGACCAGCCATGCCAAAAAACTTGCTATTTCCCAAACATACCTATGTATTTTACTGCATTTGAGCTTTTGCACTTTTTCTTTCCAACATTCTTTGCCTGGTACAGTCTTAATGATCCAAATCGAACTTACATTTTATCAGCAGGAAATCTTTCTTTAATCTTCCAGCAGAGGAAGCACTGCCACTTCCAAGTTTCTAGTCATTTTTCATATATATGTATTTATTTATCAGGCAGATAATATATGCATGTATTTGCTCCTTAGATGATTTTCTCTTTCTTCTTTAATACTATTAGCATTTCAATCATAGTTATATATTCTGTGCTTGAAAATTGTATTATCTGAAGTGTTTAGGTAAATCTAAGTCTATTGTTAGCTGTCTTTGCTGACTTACTTTTATGTTGACTTATTACCTTGTGTGCTTGGTGATCTTTTGTTTTTAAGCTGTGATACCTTATAAACGTGGGTCTAATTCCTCCAGAGATGATTTGCCTTCTTCTCTGTTTGCGAGCAAGGAATTACTTCCAACTGGCATCATGTTAGTTTCCTTCAAGGATCCGGGAAACTGGGAGGTTGCCTAGAGGAGTGACAGAGTGAGGAGAGATTCCAAATGAAAATTGCTGTCTCCCTCCCCTTCTTCCTCTATGTCCATCTATTTTACCATGTCTTTGAGAAATGTTTTGTGTTTCCTATTCTAAATTATAAAGTAGATAATTAGAATGATGTTTTTCTTTTAAAACAAACTAATAACCAATAATCAGATCAGTTACCATTAAATAGATGAATTTTATTGTATGTTGTTGTTTTCTGAGTATGAAAACAACATACTCCTTAGGCAGGCTAAAACATATCTTCCTCACAGCACTGGACACTTTTCCCAAGGGTATCACTGCTAAAGTGATCTGACTGAACCAGTTATTGCCTAAGATTTCTTTCTTTTCTCATACTCTGTGTTCTAAATAGTAGTTGCAGAAGCAGCTTTCATTTGCACAATTTCAGTGACTCTGGTGCTTGAATTCTTGCCTCCAACATAGATGTTATTGCTATTGTTTGGGATATTTCTATCTCCTGTGACACTGTTGATATTAAAGACAGATGCTTCTGTCAATTTTGTGTTTGTAACTGAAGAAAACAGAACCATCTGCTGCTAGTAACTTCTCCAATTTGAAATTTGATGGAAACATTCTCAGCTCAGTTGGCAAAATTCTCTGACTCCTGTTTTTGTCTCTTGAATCTCGTTTCCCACAGTCGAAAGAACCCTCTTGGTCTTATCATTGCCCTAGATGAGAACAAAGAAGCAAAAGGAGAACTTTTCTGGGATGATGGGGAAATGAAGGGTGAGCACTGTTATGATAATGTTGCATTTTTAAAGCCAGCACCTGTGACTTATTGTCCTTCACTCCTGCTAGTCATTCAGCTTTGGGAGAAATCTCACCAGATACAGTAGCAAGAGTCACTTAAGTACTTCGTTTCTGGTTGCATGGTTCAGAGGTAGAGGTAGATGAACTACAAAAGAAAGAAAAATACATTTCTATTTGTGACAATTCTCCCATTGGCCCGTGATATCTATAATAGGCTCTCATTTTATTGTCAATGGGTGCTCAGAAGAGATGGTTTCAAGACTGTTCCTGTAAGTCAATGTTAATGTCTTCCTCTCCAAATTCTTATGAGCAAATGTTGATGAGGTAAAAATCATAGACCTGCCATAGAGGCAGTGAGAATATACTGTTCTAGTGTGTGCTCACCTAGCCATACTTTTTAGCCTATTCATGGCTCTGGTGCTTCAAGTTTAGGAAATACCTGTGCTTCAAGTTTAGGAAATAGACTCCCTTGAGACACATGCCTGGAAAGCCCTTGGGAGGGAACCTTTTCAATGTTCCAGTAGGAAAGAGAAGGAAAAACAATGACTTGGCCTTGGAGACTCTTGTCCATCTAATGCAATCTGTAGATTTAAAATTTTATTTATTTATTTAATTGTAAAATATTTAATTGGAAAATAAAGATGAAATTTATTCAAAGTGAACAAAGTGAGGATTTAATATATATAGTCATAGTATAATGATTACCACAGCTATTTTAATGAACACTTCCATCACCACCCATGCTGTAGACTGGATCCTCAGAACTTATTTATCTAATAACTAAAGGTTTGTACCCTTGACCATCATTTCCCTATTTCCCCCACCCTCAGGCTCTAAGAACCACTGTTATACTGCCTGCTTCTATGAACTCAACTTTTTTAGATTCCACATATAAGTGAGACCATGCAGTATTCGATTTTCTGTTTCTGGTTTATTTCACTTAGTATAATGTCCTCCAGATTCATCCATGCTGTTGCAAATGGCCAAATTTTCTTTCTTTTTTTTTTCATGGCTGAATAATACTTTGTTGTATATATGTATCATAATTTCTTTATTCATCCATTGATAGACACTTAGGTTGTTTTCATATCTTGGCTACTGTGAAAAATAAAATTAAAAACTTAAATGTAAGGGCTGAAATTGTAAAGCTTCTAAAAGAAAACAGGAAAAAATCCTCCTTGACATTTTAGTCTTGGCAGTGACTTTTTGGATATGATACCAAAAGCAAAGGCAAAATACCAAAAAATAAACAAGCATGGCTACATCAAACCAAAAGACTTCTGCATAGCAAAATAAACAATCAACAAAGTGAAAACGCAAACTAAGGAATGAATAATAATGTTTGCAAACCACCTATCTGAGAAGAGATTAATATAAAAAATATATAAGGAACTCATATAACTCAGTAGCAAAAGATCAAATGACCCAATTAAAAACAGCGTGAAGGAATTGAACAGATATTTTTCCAAGGAAGACATTCAAGTGACTAAATGGTATGAGAAAAGATGCTCAACGTCAGTGAATGACAGAGAATTGCAAACCAAAAATCACAGTGAGATATCACCTCACACCTGTTAGCATGGAAATTATAAAAAAAAGACAAGAGATAAGAGTTGGTGAGGATGTGGAGAAAATGGATTTTTTGTCGATTGTTGGTGAGAATGTAAATTGGTACAACCACTATAGAAAATAGTATGGAAGTTCTTCAGAAAATTAAAAGTAGAACTTCTTTACAGTCCATGAAATCCCACTTCTGTGTTTATATCCAGAGGACACAGAAACAGTATCTTTAAGAGATATACTCACTTCCATGTTTATTACAGCATTATTCACAATATCCGAGATACAGAAACAGTCTAAGTGTACATTGATGAATGAATGAATA